ATGCCTTGTTCCAAATTTATTTTGGATCGTTAGTTTGCATTTGATTTTCGTTTAATTTAATTACTATAGCATATTATTCTACTTCTTTTTAAACTCACTACATTCCATTTCATCACCTTAATTCCTTTTTGAAAGAATTTTTTTCTCTTTTTATGCTTACCAACACTTCTTTTTATTTTATTAAGTACCAGATATCCGGAAAAATCTGATCTAGTCATAGCTTCGTCAAGCCTTGTTTCAAATGGCCATGAAAAAATACATGATCTTCTCGATAGCAGTGACTTTTCTGACACTAGTCCTGAATCGGGTGAAGTTTTAGTAGCTAGGCCTGCATCACAAAACATAGCAGATTCTCCACCTTATGGTAATGTGGGTTCTCGTTCAAGGCAAAAACAATCTATTTTTTCTGCTCCTGCATCTGAGGAGGAAGTTTCTGGCCCAAAGATTATGCCCCTATATCGTCATTCCAATTCAGGTATAGATTAGTTTTAAATTTTTTATATTCTTTCCCTTCTATTTTTTAAAAACTGATCTCTTTTGTAGCTAGGTTTTAAAGATTTTTAAATTTCCAAAAATTTTACTTGTAGTCGGTGCTTCAAGCCAAATGGCTTTTGTAGTAGACACTAATTGGCTGGCCATTGATCATAGCTTTATATATCATTTCATCTCATAATTCTCAAAATTTCTTCATAGTTTCGGGGCGTACCTCTTTTGTGCTTGAAAGTATTTTCTGAACCACAAAAAATCACTCTCATCACATATCCCTATTTATGCTATCTTTCAACGTGATCCATTTCCCACAATCTAATTTTTTTCTTTATCTATCACTACAACTTAAGATATTTAATAGAAGTAGTTTGACCTTATTTTCGCAACTCAGTCATATTGGTAGGAAGATTTAGAGGGCCGCACCTAGTCCGAAGTCCAAAGAGACAAGTATATTTGACGAGTTGTAGTGTGGTGCTAAGAATGGCAAAACTCACTGACGATGCCGGTGAAACGTCTGCGAATGTACCACGTCCACGGTCCGACTGGAAATTATCATGGACTCCCGACTAGGTGCGTTCCTCTAAGTCTTCCTACTAATATGACCAAGTTGCGAAAACAGGATCAAACGACCTCTATACAACAAAAGGAGACTGCGACCACACAAAAGGCCACACCATCTTGGTCTTTGTACCTTCGATTAAGATATCTAACTAATAGTTTCACTTTGCTCTCATTCTTATACCTTATATTATTCGAGTTTAAACTATTTTTCTCAATTGAACAAAATGTCTAATATTTCTGTAGGTATATATTTAGAGTTTCGAGACTACCAGTAAGTCAGTCATATGAGATGTATTCACCCTATTTCGTTTAAAGTCGCGAAGTACTGGTAGTAGAATTTCCAACAATGATATGAATAGAGCTGATGCTTCCATTTGATTTCACATATCTTCGCTTTCCCTTAAGTTGTTTTTATCCATAATGGACTGAAGTTTCGACCTCGCATAGGTCTTATCAACATTCCCCAGCGGGAGTCGAACCGTGACACTGCAGTATGTGAGTTTTGACACGTTAAACATTTCACCACATTGCAACGAGTGCCCTTGGGTCAAAGGGCAGTTGAGAATTTCAAGTAAGGCGAGGCCTTTTTCCATATTACATTCTTTGCTGGCATGTCGATGAAGTACACGTATTTTTTGCTATAACTATCTGGCAGTCTCGAGACTACCAGTAAATCATTTCATTAATTTATTGCCACGTATGATCGGTATGCAAACATTACATGAGTGAATAATTGGTCTGTGACACCAAATAAATTTTTATTTATTCATAAATTGTGGAGCTTAATCGCATTTAGGATGTCAGATAAATAAAACTATTACATGCATCTGTAATATTAAATTTTTAATTTGGTTCTTTTCTTTTGTGTATTTTAAACTAAGTTATTTTTTTCACTTTAACCTTATCTTGCATATTGCATTCTAATTATCAGTTAAAATTGGGATAGCTGTGATTTATCTTTGGTCAGTTGATTTATTTTTAATGTTTCCCCTTCTATATCCCTTGAACTTGCCTATAGATTCATCGAATTCAGAAATTATTTCATCAGCTTGAATTTAATTATATTTTATATTATTTGAACTGATAATTCGATTTTAATATTTTTTCTTAAGTTGATAATAAGCGTCTATCACAAACAGAGTCTAGCAGCATTGCTGTCACTGCACAGAATTCCAAGCCGCCATCTTCTTTCTGCTCTCAAAAGGGCTCCCACTCTACACAAATGACTAACAACGAAGTTTCATTTGATTCGGATACTTACGGAATCGAGAAATGCAGCTTCCATTCACCTCCAACAAAGGCCAAATCGGCCGATTCTACAATTGATCCAGCCCTCCCTAATAACTCATGCTATTCTACAGATCAGGAACTACGAGCAGAGTGTTTTTTAAAGCCGATAAAAATGGTTGATAGGAAATTTAGTGAGGAAGCTGAAGCTCAAAGTAAACTTTATCCCTCAAGTACTTCACCATCCTCCCCGGAGTGTATAGTAACTTCCAGACCATTAACGGGTACAATCGTTGGCTGTTGTCAGGCTCTCTATTCTTTCTCAGGTAAGCGATCAATGCCAAGAATGTTATCATTCTATTTCGGAAATAACATTTCTGTAAAAAAATTCTTGTACCAACTATTAAAATGCTGGGGCTACAATCACTACCACTGAATAATCATCACCTCTCTATTTGATTCTGATCTCTATAATGTCTAGATTACTCATATTTGCTTTCGTCCATTTTTAAAAAACTTTTTTGCGTTCGTAGGTTTTGTTACTGATGTGTAATCTGTCCATAGTCTATTTGTTATCCTCGTTAATAGCATTATTTTCTGTATATATCAATACTATTGGTGGCGTTCGTGATTGGTAACGATTTTAGTTCAAATTTTATGCGTGAAGTGTTATTTTTAGCATCAAAGAGCAATGTGATCTTGTCGCTTTATCACGCGAACCACTACAAGGTAAAGCATACTTATGTCTTTTAATACACTAATTTGTCTTAAACAGTCAAGGAGCCAAATGACCGGGCCGATTCTGGGGTAACTCTTAGTAAGTTGTGCGGAGTGCACACCCTTGGGGAAATCATAGGCCAGATTGAAGCAAATAATAATACATGCCATCATATTCGAGTTACGCCATTTGAAAGTGTAAATATCGTTTGATCTCGAGAATAATGCTTCCACAAGTCTTTTTTAAATTGTATTAATGAGATTATTTCAACTAAACTATTCTTTGAGATAATCTCATGAGGATTTATTTCCTCTAAATTTGGGTGCCCGTCTCCTTAACTAAAACTTCAATTACTTTTCTCAATCCCTGTACTGTTCAGCAAATTTTCTATGGAGAGCGTGGTCACGAACTAATAGCGTTTTAGAGGTTGTTTGACCTTGTTTTCGCAATTTGGTTATATTGGCAGGAAGACTTAGAGTAATGCACCTCGTCCCGAGTCCATAGGATGCATGATAATTTTCATTTGGACCGTGGACCCGGTACATTCCCAGACGTTTCGCCGGCATCGTCAGTGAGCCTTGTTATTCTTAGAACCGCACTACAATTCGTAAGAGAAACAAGTGAAGTCGATCCTTCGACCATTTGTGTGCTAAACAGTTGTGGTATTTCTCCTGTCTTGGGCTATTCACCTATCCTATATCCTCGTATCGCCCCTCAATATCATAATTTCTTAATTGCTTATTTAAATGCGGAATGGTGCCCTTTTGAGTGGATCTAATGAGAACTCTACATTGGCTTTTTGATCCCACTTCACTAATATTCTGGAAGTGTTGATTAGAGTATGCCATATTATTCCGCAATACTCATTCCGTCGGTCTTATTGGAGTCTTCCTCTTGCCCTGTAGGATCCCCCTACTACCTTTCTCGTTCAGGTATTCACTCGACCTCCATCGTTCTATCTATACGACTCGAATCGTTATTTCCCACGTCTCAAGCCTTTCATGGCACGCATACTCTTGCCTCGCTGAGAGTAGGCCCATAAAAATCAGGATTCTCAAGCTGGATGGGAGACTAATTTGAGGCTAAAAATCTCAAGTAATTCTCATGGTCAAGCCTTTGCTTCATGGATCACGTCTACTGTTAGCCAACTAGCTCTAGACTCCGCCGCATATATCGTGCTACTATGCATAGTGTCAAGTCTATGAATTCCTATGCCCTAGTATTTTGTGTGCCAACCCACAAATGTAGTTCTACATT